AACCCTAATTTGGGATTCCCCCGTCCATCAATCCAATCTTTTGATTACACACCCACGGCGGGCGGCTCGCACACAACATAATATAACACACACACAAAAGCACACAAACACACACACAGGACAAGAAAAACAACAACCAACAAACCTACTCCAACTACAACTCACACACAGACAGAAAAAAGCACACACACAACACCAACAACACAAACACAACACTCACAAAACAACACGACGCCCCAGGGGCTAGTTAATTATTCTAAATATAATAAAGTTCTATCTAATTCCGTTCATTCTCTCCACTGGCCCAGACAGGACCACCTTGTATTTTATGGGTCCTATGGATGGGTCCCGGGGTAGGGGGGGGTGATGTAATTTGGGGTCCCGACCAAAAACTCCGAGTAGGTCGCAGCCAAAAAAAGGAATGATGTGGATGGTCATGAAAAATTATTACTGGTGTTTCTTCTCTGGTGGGGTGGGATGGGGTGGTGATGGGTTCCCCCCGCCACACACCCAACGTATCGTCTCATCCAGTTTTGTTTTAACAACGCTCAATCAATCAGTGGCTAATTGGCTGGGAGGGGGGGCCTCTATTTGTGCCCTGACTGAAATACTTGGACTGAAACCTATCTGTGTGTGTGTGTGTGTGTGTGTGTGTGTGTGTGTGTGTGTGTGTGTGTGTGTGTGTGTGTGTCTTTTTTACGATGTCAACGAGAATGCAGGTTCTCCATCCATCCGGATTTCTAGTAAACAGTCTTTATGTGTGTTACATGCAATGCAGTGGCCACCAGCAGTTTACCAAACTGAACCAAGTGTCGTGACTTGTCTCTGTGATTACATAATAGACACAATAGTCTCCTCTGTCTTAAAAGTCATGCACAGTGCAGATGTTAAGACTGTGGTCCTCTGTAGCTCAGCTGGTAGAGCACGGCGCTTGTAACGCCAAGGTAGTGGGTTCGATCCCCGGGACCACCCATACACAAAAAATGTATGCACACATGACTGTAAGTCGCTTTGGATAAAAGCATCCGCTAAATGGCATATTATTTATTAAGACGGAATGAACTGGGGATGGTGTGTTGTAAAGTGGGATTTGGAGAGGGAATATGACAATCCAGCCTGGTAATTTACATTTACATTTTAGTAATTTAGCAGACGCTCTTATCCAGAGCGACTTACATGAGCAATTAGGGTTAAGTGCCTTGCTCATGGGCACATCGACAGAATTTTCACCTAGTCGGCTCGGGGATTAGAACCAGCGACCTTTCGGTTACTGGCACAACGCTCTTACCCACTAAGCTACCTGCCGCCCCATGAGAAGAGTAGACATTACAGACGACTAGGATTAGAACTATCATCTCCTCTATTGTTTCATCACAGGACTCTGTTTTAACATCGCTGTTCCAAGTTTGAATGCTATGTCTGTGTTAGCCCTGTGCTACAGATCAATAGGTATTGGAGGACCTTTGCTATGTATTTGTTAGCACTGTGCTACAGATCAATAGGTTTTGATCTGCTAGACAATCAGCCTACAGAAAGAAAGTCATTGAAGGTTTGACATCATTAGACAATCAGCCTACACATGATGGTTGGAGTAACAGCCAGGTCACTCAAGATCCACTTTTGAAATTCGACGTCCCTCCGGGTACCCAGGGCGTTGGGAGAAGCCTTCAAAACCAGTCACTAAGGGCAACGGTAAGCCGCAAGCTTCGGCATGTTCAATCCAGGTGATAAACCCCTTATTTTTTTGTTTTAGCCCTATCCCAAACCTTAACCCTTAACTTAACCCTTCGGACTTAATGCCGAAACTTAACCAGCAGCGATGCGCCGGCGACAGTAGCAGCCACAGCGGGGGGGAGCAACCCAGGGTGTCCAAAACACCTCAAATGTTTACTGTTTGAGCAACTTCGAAATTTGATGTTTGGGGAAACGTGGACAAACGTCGGAATCTGAAGTCAAATTTGGCAAACCGTGAGATATCTCGTTGGGAGTAACGTAAAGGTGTAATGCTGACTTCATCTGAGAGAGCTCCCTTAAACTTGACTGCAGGAGTTAAGAGCCTCAATGACTCCACATCACAGCACTGTACCCAAACGGCACTCTATTCCCTACTGTATATAGTGCACTTTAAAAGGAGTGCACTATGTAGGGAATAGGGTGCCATTTGCGACGCAGCCATAGTAACTATATTTCTACGACTGTACGAGTCGACATCACGATGCCTGATGTAAACCCGACTGCCATTCAAAAGTTCCAGTTAGATATGATTCATGTTGATGTGAAAACTCTGCGTGTGCCTGTGGATGTGGGTGTATTCTGGGTCTCAAATATTCAAACGTATGATTCATATTTGATGGCTATAACTGCCGTGGAGGTAGGGGAGCACTCATGCACTCATGTGCGCACGCACTCAGACACACACACACACACACACACACACACACACACACACACACACACACACACACACACACACACACACACACACACACACACAAGTGACTCATCGAGCCTGCTAGTGGGACATGCTGAAAGAACAGACCATGAATACACTGAATAAATCTGAATGAACCTGAATAAATGATATTTGTATTGATTTATTTTATCCCAAAGCAGCATCTCTTCATAAACTACACATATGTCTGAGGTGATACCAACACTATAAAATGTAAATGTAATGTAAAACTATGAGGGTTTGTACAGGCTTACAACAAGTATTCAAGGGACTCACCTCCCCATTTGTTTTAGAAACAAGCAAAGAAAAGACAATTGATTTTGCTTGTATTTTTTATTTAGCATAAAGAGTTTCTGATCCATGTTGCACCATTAGAAACGCTGACAAAGTCTGTCGCCAAAACACATCAGTTTGTTTGACCTCAGCTGCTGCCAAAGTACATATAAAACTCCAACTATTATACACAGATATTTTGGCGAGAGCAGGTTTTCCTTTCCCAGTTTATATGCTTTTAGAATCCCAAAGACTTTTGATTATGTACCACTAGTGAGTCAACATTTAACATTTTAGTCATTAAGCAGAGTAAAGCATGCCAATGCTTGATTCACCATTAGTATGTACCACTAGTGAGTCGAGCATGCCAATTATTGATTCACCATTAGTAGCAACGGGGACAGACTAAACGCCTCGACGTCTAGAGTAATTAGACTGTGTGTAAACATATGCTGTGGGATTTCCTCCAGCATGCTACAGTGGATCAGTCTGATAGAAGGAGCTGATTGAGATTTCACACTGCTAATTCCCCATCTGGGTCCTCCTAATCACACTGCTAATTCCCCATCTGGGTCCTCCTAATCACACTGCTAATTCCCCATCTGGGTCCTCCTAATCACACTGCTAATTCCCATCTGGGTCCTCCTAATCACACTGCTAATTCCCCATCTGGGTCCTCCTAATCACACTGCTAATTCCCATCTGGGTCCTCCTAATCACACTGCTAATTCACCTTCTGGGTCCTCCTAATCACACTGCTAATTCACCGTCTCGGTCCTCCTAATCACACTGCTAATTCACCATCTGGGTCCTCCTAATCACGCTGCTAATTCACCGTCTCGGTCCTCCTAATCACACTACTAATTCACCGTCTCGGTCCTTCTAATCACGCTGCTAATTCACCGTCTCGGTCCTCCTAATCACACTGCTAATTCTATCTCTGGGTCTCCTCCTAATCACACTGCTAATTCACCTGCTAGGTCTTCTAATCACATGCTAATTCACCTCTAGGTCCTTCTAATCACACTGCTAATTCACCTGCTAGGTCTTCTAATCACACTGCAATTCACCGTCTCGGTCCTCCTAATCACACTGCTAATTCACCTGCTAGGTCCTTCTAATCACGCTGCTAATTCACCTGCTAGGTCCTTCTAATCACACTGCTAATTCACCTGCTAGGTCCTTCTAATCACACTGCTAATTCACCTGCTAGGTCCTTCTAATCACACTGCTAATTCACCGTCTCGGTCCTCCTAATCACACCTAATTCCCCATCTGGGTCCTCCTAATCACACTGCTAATTCACCTGCTAGGTCCTTCTAATCACACTGCTAATTCTCCCTCTGGTCTCCTCCTAATCACACAGTTAGCTTACTAAGGTATTTCAGCCACTTGAGACTCAATTGAGTTACAGTGTGTGTGTGTGTGTGTGTGTGTGTGTGTGTGTGTGTGTGTGTGTGTGTGTGCATGGGCACCAACTGTAGAATACTAATGGTAACTCCCTATCCCAATCAAACACTACTAAATTATTATTCTATCAATTACATACAAGGAATTACATTAGCTGTTATAAAGTGACCTTTCTGGACGCAGCCCAGAGATATCAATCTGGAACCCTGTGTGTATATAGGTGTGTGAGTGCAATTGTGTGTGTTTGTGTGTGTGCATGTGTGTATGTGTGTGTGCATGTGTGTGTGTGTGTGTGTGTGTGTGTGTGTGTTTGTGTGTGTGTACATGTTTCTCAGGTGAAAGGGAACAAATGCGAGGGTCTCACTGATAAAATGAGTGCTTGATTGATCGCTATTTTATTCATTTTAATCGAGATGTATAAAACAAATCAACCGATCATCAGATCATCAGAACGGATTGGAATGATATGGATCTCTTTTTTTATGTCCAAATCCACACTGAGATACGTGGGAATTACGTTGTAATGCAATGTACTGGCGTCCCTGGCATGGGGACAGGGGAGGAAGCGGCAGTCTGGAGAAATCATGTACACGTCTCCTGTTTTCTGTCTCTTTCTCTGTTTGTCTCTGACATTTAAACAATAGAGGAGATAAAGAGATAGAAGGAGAGAGAGAGGAAGAAAGAGAAAGAGAAGCTAGTTTCCTATCAGAATCCTCAGGAAGGACATCATGGAGTAACATAGTAACAGCAGGGCAGCAATCTGCCATCAGTGATATCACACACTGTATTACTCAGCCAGGTCACTGTATTATAAGCCAGGTTACACTGTATATCCAGCCAGTGGTCACTGCATTACTCACGCCAGGTCAAGTATATCCAGCCAGGTCACTGTATTATCCGCAGGTCACTGTATTATACAGCCAGGTCACTGTATATCCAGCCAGGTCACTGTATTACATCGGCAAAGGTCACTGTTTATCAGCCAGTCACTGTTTATCCAGCCAGGTCACTGTATATCCAGCCAGGTCACTGTATTACTCAGCCAGGTCACTGTATTATCCAGCCAGGTCACTGTATTATCCAGCCAGGTCACTGTATTATCCAGCCAGGTCACTGTATTATCCAGCCAGGTCACTGTATTACTCGGCCAGGTCACTGTATTATCCAGCCAGGTCACTGTAATACTCGGCCAGGTCACTGTATATCCAGCCAGGTCACTGTATTACTCGGCCAGGTCACTGTATTATCCAGCCAGGTCACTGTATTACTCGGCCAGGTCACTGTATTATCCAGCCAGGTCACTGTATTATCCAGCCAGGTCACTGTATTATCCAGCCAGGTCACTGTATTACTCGGCCAGGTCACTGTATTATCCAGCCAGGTCACTGTATTACTCGGCCAGGTCACTGTATTATCCAGCCAGGTCACTGTATTATCCAGCCAGGTCACTGTATTACTCGGCCAGGTCACTGTATTATCCAGCCAGGTCACTGTATTATCCAGCCAGGTCACTGAATTACTCAGCCAGGTCACTGTATTATCCAGCCAGGTCACTGAATTACTCAGCCAGGTCACTGTATTATCCAGCCAGGTCACTGTATTATCCAGCCAGGTCACTGTATTATCCAACCAGGTCACTGTATTATCCAGCCAGGTCACTGTATTACTCGGCCAGGTCACTGTATTATCCAGCCAGGTCACTGTAATACTCGGCCAGGTCACTGTATTATCCAGCCAGGTCACTGTATTACTCGGCCAGGTCACTGTATTATCCAGCCAGGTCACTGTATTACTCGGCCAGGTCACTGTATTATCCAGCCAGGTCACTGTATTATCCAGCCAGGTCACTGTATTATCCAGCCAGGTCACTGTATTACTCGCCAGGTCACTGTATTATCTAGCCAGGTCACTGTATTACTCGGCCAGGTCACTGTATTATCCAGCCAGGTCACTGTATTATCCAGCCAGGTCACTGTATTACTCGGCCAGGTCACTGTATTATCCAGCAAGGTCACTGTATTATCCAGCCAGGTCACTGTATTACTCAGCCAGGTCACTGTATTACTCGGCCAGGTCACTGTATTATCCAGCCAGGTCACTGTATTACTCGGCCAGGTCACTGTATTACTCAGCCAGATCACTGTATTATCCAGCCAGGTCACTGTATTATCCAGCCAGGTCACTGTATTATCCAGCCAGGTCACTGTATTATCCAGCCAGGTCACTGTATTATCCAGCCAGGTCACTGTATTACTCGGCAAGGTCACTGTATTATCCAGCCAGGTCACTGTATTACTCAGCCAGGTCACTGTATTATCCAGCCAGGTCACTGTATTATCCAGCCAGGTCACTGTATTACTCGGCCAGGTCACTGTATTATCCAGCCAGGTCACTCTATTATCCAGCCAGGTCACTGTATTACTCAGCCAGGTCACTGTATTACTCGGCCAGGTCACTGTATTATCCAGCCAGGTCACTGTATTACTCGGCCAGGTCACTGTATTACTCGGCCAGGTCACTGTATTATCCAGCCAGGTCACTGTATTACTCAGCCAGGTCACTGTATTACTCGGCCAGGTCACTGTATTATCCAGCCAGGTCACTGTATTATCCAGCCAGGTCACTGTATTACTCAGCCAGGTCACTGTATTACTCGGCCAGGTCACTGTATTATCCAGCCAGGTCACTGTATTACTCGGCCAGGTCACTGTATTATCCAGCCAGGTCACTGTATTACTCGGCCAGGTCACTGTATTATCCAGCCAGGTCACTGTATTATCCAGCCAGGTCACTGTATTACTCAGCCAGGTCACTGTATTATCCAGCCAGGTCACTGTATTTCTCGGCCAGGTCACTGTATTATCCAGCCAGGTCACTGTATTACTCGGCCAGGTCACTGTATTACTCGGCCAGGTCACTGTATTATCCAGCCAGGTCACTGAATTACTCAGCCAGGTCACTGTATTATCCAGCCAGGTCACTGTATTATCCAGCCAGGTCACTGTATTATCCAGCCAGGTCACTGTATTACTCGGCCAGGTCACTGTATTACTCAGCCAGGTCACTGTATTATCCAGCCAGGTCACTGTATTACTCGGCCAGGTCACTGTATTATCCAGCCAGGTCACTGTATTACTCAGCCAGGTCACTGTATTACTCGGCCAGGCACTGTATTATCCAGCCAGGTCACTGTATTACTCGGCCAGGTCACTGTATTATCCAGCCAGGTCACTGTATTATCCAGCCAGGTCACTGTATTACTCAGCCAGGTCACTGTATTACTCGGCCAGGTCACTGTATTATCAAATCAAATCAAATCAAATTTTATTGGTCACATGCCCCGAATACAACAGGTGCAGACATTACAGTGAAATGCTTACTTACAGCCCTTAACCAACAGTGCATTTATTTTTAACAAAAAAAGTAAAAATAAAACAACAACAAAAAAAGCGTTGAGAAAAAAAAGAGCAGAAGTAAAATAAAGTAACAGTAGAGAGGCTATATATACAGGGGGGTACCGTTGCAGAGTCAATGTGCGGGGGCACCGGCTAGTTGAGGTATTTGAGGTAATATGTACATGTGGGTAGAGTTAAAGTGACTATGCATAAATAATTAACAGAGTAGCAGCAGCGTAAAAAGGATGGGGTGGGGGGGCAGTGCAAATAGTCCGGGTAGCCATGATTAGCTGTTCAGGAGTCTTATGGCTTGGGGGTAGAAGCTGTTGAGAAGTCTTTTGGACCTAGACTTGGCACTCCGGTACCGCTTGCCGTGCGGTAGCAGAGAGAACAGTCTATGACTAGGGTGGCTGGAGTCTTTGACAATTTTGAGGGCCTTCCTCTGACACCGCCTGGTATAGAGGTCCTGGATGGCAGGAAGCTTGGCCCCAGTGATGTACTGGGCCGTACGCACTACCCTCTGTAGTGCCTTGCGGTCGGAGGCCAAGCAGTTGCCATACCAGGCGGTGATGCAACCAGTCAGGATGCTCTCGATGGTGCAGCTGTATAATTTTTTGAGGATCTGAGGACCCATGCCAAATATTTTCAGTCTCCTGAGGGGGAATAGGCTGAAATATTGTAATATTCACTGTAATATTCATATGTGTCAGCATACTGAATTGTAATTGGATGCATTCTACCGTCGTATCATACTGCGCTATGATTGGTTAAGACCACCCAGGTGGTGAGGTCATTCTAAAGATGATCATGGCCGGAGACACGTGAACATGCCAGTTATAGCTAGTTAATAAAGAGCTACGTTTCTGAAGATCCTGTCGTCCTGCATTTCATTATTTTGCACAAAGCATACAAAACAAGACAGTCACTGTATTATCCAGCCAGAGCAATATTTTTGGACCCCCAATTTGGTTCTGAAATCACCATCACCCACTAATTAACTTGTGATTTTTGCAGATTAAGTGTTTGAGCTAGTAATATATCAATATTTATCGTATAATACATCCCTAGCCTAGGATTATCAATCAATAACACATCCCTAGGATTATCAATCAATAAAACATCCCTAGGATTATCAATCAATAACACATCCCCAGGATTATCAATCCATAATACCACTCTCTGCTGAATCTGTCTAAAGCACTCACAAGCCACCGCTTCTTCCTTGACACGCACACACACACATAACCCCCCTCCCCCACCCCACACACACAAGTCTGTCTGTACTGTATTCATCAAACCAGTCTGCTATGATTCCCACCACCCCTCCTCAGTATTACCCAGCTCACCACAGACCGCCATGGTCATGTGTTTCCCATGTACACATTGATCAGTATCACACCCCTGCCAATACCTACCATCGGGCCTGAATACAGCCGGCAGCAGAATTAAACAAACTCTCTCTCTCTCTCTCTCTCTCTCTCTCTCTCTCTCTCTCTCTCTCTCTCTCTCTCTCTCTCTCTCTCTCTCTCTCTCTCTCTCTCTCTCTCTCTCTCTCTCTCTCTCTCTCTCTCTTGAGGTGAGGACGAATGTTTAGGCCTACCAGAGTTACTCCTATAGTCTAACAATATAATACTTATCTTTAGAAAAAAATATTCCGATAGAAAATCACGATATATGTTAATATCATACACCTCCCTGACCAAGGCCCTTCTCCCCCGATTGCTCAGTTTGGCCGGACGGCCAGCTCCAGACAGGGTCTTGGTGGTTCCAAACTTCTTCCATTTAAGAATTCCTTTAACCTCATGGCTTGGTTTGCTCTGACGTCAATATAATTTACCACAGGTGGACTCCAATCAAGTTGTAGAAACATCTCAAGGATGATCAATGGAAACAGGATGCACCTGAGCTCAATTTCGAGTCTCATAGGAAAGGGTCTGAATACTTATGTAAATAAGGTATTTCTTTTTTTTTTCTTTTTTATTTGCAAAAATTGCTATAAACCTATTTTCACTTTGTCATTATGGGGTATTGTGTGTAGATTGCTGATTTTTTATATTTTTTATCAATTTTAGAATAAGGCTGTAACATAACAAAATGTGGGAAAAGTCAAGGGGTCTGAATGCTTTCCAAAGGCACTGTATTACTATGGTGGCTGGAGTCTTTGACAATTTTTAGGGCCTTCCTCTGGTACCGCCTGGTATATAGGTCCTGCATGGCAGAAAGCTTGGCCCCAGTGATGTACTGGGCCGTACGCACTACACAATGTAGCACCTTGTGGTCGGATGCCGAGCAGTTGCCATACCAGGCGCTGATTTAACAAGTTAGGATGCTCTCGATAGTGCAGCTGTTGAACTTTTTGAGGATCTGAGGACCCTCGCCAAATCTTTTCAGTCTCCTGAGGAGGAATAGGCGTTGTTTTGCCCTCTTCACGACTGTCTTGGTGTGTTTGGACCATGATAGTTTGTTGGTGATGTGGACACAAAGGAACTTGAAGCTCTCGACCTGCTCGACTACAGCCCCTTCGATGTGAAAGGAGGAGTGCTCTGTCCTCCTTTTCCTGTAGTGCACGATTAGTTCCTTTGTCTTGATCACGTTGAGGGAGATGTTGTTGTCCTGGCACCACACTGCCAGGTCTCTGACCTCCTCCCCATAGGCTGTCTCATCGTTGTCGGTGATCAGGCCTACCACCGTTGTGTTGTCGGAAAACCTAATGATGGTGTTGGAATCATGCTTGACCATGCAGTCGTGGGTGAACAGGGAGTACAGGAGGGGACTAAGCACGCACCCCTGAGGGGCCCCCGTGTTGAAGATCAGTGTGTCAGATGTGTTGTTGCCTACCCTTACCACCTGGGGTGGCGACCCGTCAGGAAGTCCAGGATCCAGTTGCAGAGGGAGGTGTTTAGTCCCAGGGTCCTTAGCTTAGTGATGAGCTGTGAGGGCACTATGGTGTTGAATGTTGAGCTGTAGTCAATGAACAGCATTCTTATGTAGGTGTTTCTTTTGTCCAGGTGGGAAAGGGCAGTGTGGAGAGAAATTGAGATTGTGTCATCTGTGGATCTGTTGGGGCGGTATGTGAATTGGAGTGGGTCTAGGGTTTCTGGGATGATGGTGTTGATATGAGCAATGACCAGCTTTTCAAAGCACTTCATGACTACAGACATGGGTGCTACGGGTCGTTAGTCATTTAGGCAGGTTCTTGGGCACAGGGACTATGGTGGTCTGCTTGAAACATGAAGGTATTACAGACTCGGTCAGGGACAGGTTGAAAATGCCAGTGAAGGCACTTGCCAGTTGGTCAGCACATGCTCTGAGTACACGTCCTGGTAATCCGTCTGGCCCTGCGGCCTTGTAATGTTGACCTGTTAAAGGTCTTACTCACATGCTTCAGTGTTGCTTGCCTCGAAGCGTGCATAGAAGTCATTTAGCTCGCCTGGTAGACTCGTGTCACTGGGCAGCTCGCGGCTGGGCTTCCCTTTGTAGTCTGTAATAGTTTGTAAGCCCTGCCACATCCGACGAGCGTCAGAGCCGGTGTAGTAGGATTCAATCTTAGGCCTGTATTGATGCTTTGCCTGTTTGTTGGGTAGTCGGAGGGCATAGCAGGATTTCTTACAAACGTTGCGGGTTAGAGTCCCACTCCTTGAAAGTACCAGATCTACCCTTTAGCTTAGTGCGGATCTTGCATGTAATCCATGGCTTCTGATTGGGGTATGTACGTACGGTCACTGTGGGTATGACATCATCAATGCACTTATTGACAAAGCCGGTGACTGATTGTGATACTCCTCAATGCCATTGGATGAATCCCAGAACATATTCCAGTCTGTCCTAGCAAAACAGTCCTGTAGCTTAGCATCTGCGTCATCTGACCACTTTCGTATTGAGCGAGTCACTGTTGCTTCCTGCTTTAGTTTTTGCTTGTAAGCAGGAATCAGGAGGTTAGAATTATGGTCAGATTTTCCAAATGGAGGTCAAGGAAGAGCTTTGTACGCATCTCTGTGTGTGGAGTAAAGGTGGTCTAGAGTTTTTTTTTCCTCTGGTTGTACATGTTACATGCTGGTAGAAATGAGGTAAAACGGATTAAAGTTTTCCTGCATTAAAGTCCCCGGCCAATAGGAGCGCCACCTCTGGATGAGCATTTTCTTGTTTGCTTATGGCCTTATACAGCTCGTTGAGTGCGGTCTTAGTGCCAGCATCGGTTTGTGGTAATAAATAGACAGCTACGAAAATGTTTGATGAGAACTCTCTTGGTAGATAGTGTGGTCTACAGCTTATCATGAGGTACTCTACCTCAGGCGAGCAAAACTTTGAGACTTCTTTAATATTATATTTCGCGCACCAGCTTTATTGAGAAATAAACACAGACCACCACCACCTCATCTTACCTGAGGTAGTTGTTCTGTCTTGCCAATGCATGAAAAGCCCAGCCAACTGTGTATTATCCATTATCCACGACTCATTGAAACATAAGATATTACAGTTTTAATGTCCCGTTTGTAGGATAGTTTCGAACGGAGCTCATCCAATTTATTCTCCAATGATGGCACGTTGGCCAATGGGAAGGATGGTAGAGGCGGGTTACGAATTCTCACAAGGCACCCAGATCTGCGTCCCCTGTATCGGTGTCTTCTCTTCATGAGAATGACAGGGATTTGGGCCTGGTCCGGTAGCAGCAGTAAATCCTTCACGTCCGACTCATTAAATAAAAAATCTTCGTCCAGTTTGAGGTGAGTATTCGCTGTTCTGTTTTCCAGAAGCTATTTTCGGTCTTAAGAGACGGTGGCAGAAACATTATGTACAAAATAAGTTACAAACTATGCGAAAAAACACACA